CCTAACTTCTATTTAAAAGCTATGTGGATTCTTAAGGAGGTTGCCCTCCTAATGTTTGCTTGAACATCATATCAACAAAACAAAAAGGGGAGGAAGATAAATAGTCCGAATTCAAAAAAAAAAAAAAAAGTTGGGATGATATTCAAGCATTCATTAGCGAAATTCTCCTTGAAGTACACGATCGAATTGTTTTGCTAATCACATACGCATTCATAACCCTAATAAAATTATCTAAATTATGGTTTCTTGAGTATGGTCATGGGGTTATAGTTATATCGTGCATCCAAGAGCTTCCTCGGTGGCCTTCTATTGTGATTCTCTTTAAGATTATCAAATTAATTCATGAAAACCAAGCCCTCAACTTTTAATCTTGTGATCTTCTTGATTTTCTTTTCCTTAAAAGATGTGATTTTTTTTCCTTTTAAATCTTTTTTTTTGAATTTTTTATGGGCTTTGTGAATTTTTTGGCTACTAGTTGTCTCTGGCCACGTGGCTATGGCCATGTCATCTGCCTTCTCTATTTTTTGATGTTTCGTGTGGAGAATATCTTGTGTGTTATTGGTCGCGGATTTTGTGGGATCTTCTTCTGATTTGAAAATATTCCGTATCTGAAGAGTCATCTCTTTTTCTGCCTCTTTTCTTGGACTCTGTGCTTTAAATAGCTACCTACCCCTTCTAGGGTTTCCCTCTCACTCTTTATTCATTCTCTTCTTCTCTACCGCCGTTCCTTTTCTTTTTCTCTTGTTTTCTCTGTGTTCACTATTCACCATGGGCAAGAATCGATCTGCTGAGGGCTCCAAGAAACGACGCCACACTCCATCTGCGTCGCCTGCTGAGAAGAAGTCGAAAAAATCCTCGAAAAAAGTTCACCCAACTGCTGTGGAACTCTCTCCTGTTCCCGTCGCCACAGATCTGGACCCCATCTCTACTCCCATGGCTTCACCATTACCGAGGACAAGTGATGTGCCTGACCCTGTTGATACCGGAGTAGCTGCTCTTGACGGTGATAGCCTCTCTGCAACCCCCCAAAATGATCTGCCCTCAGATCCCGAGGTTGCCCCCCGCAATGTTGTGTTTCCTGCTCAACTCCGTCGCTCTAATCGAAAACACGAAGGCCCATCTGTCTCCACTCCTCTCTCCGAGTCTGAAGGTCATCAATCCTCTTGTTCTGAGCCTATTCCTGAGGATGACCGTTTGCTTTCTGAATCCTCTGATTCATCTGTGGGCTCTCAACTCTTTGCTGGTAACTGTTTCTCAACCCTCTTTTATTCCGCTCTTGCTAAAGAAAACTGGGACAGTATGAGTAAGCGTGCGTGCTCTCCTGAGCGTGTTCTGTCTAGGGTTGTGTTACCTCTGTCTGGGATTTTCCGTCTTCTTAAATCTCAAGGGTTGCTTGGCACTATTGTGAGTGCACAACCTTTCGAACGATCTGTCATTGTTGAGTTTTATGCCAATCTTTCTGATCGTTTTTCTGTTGAGGGGTCTCGTGGGTATGGGAAAGTGTATGTGAGGGGTTCCTTCTATTCTGTGACTCTTGCCTTGATTAATGAATTTTATAAATGTCCAAACGAGGTTTCTACCAAACCCTCTGTTTTAAAAGATACTATGGCCTCTGTTCTCACTGCCAAAGTGTTAAAAAAATGGCCCGGCCTGAACATTTTGCTGATCTGCCTCCTGTCCATCCTTCTGTTGTTCAGACGGTCCCTTGTGCGAAGAAGGCTCCCATTGTCTCTATCTCTGTTCCACCGCCAGTTGATGTGGTCACCAAGGATGAGCTCACTCGTTTTTAGGAGACTATCCAGGCTGAGCTAGCTCAAGGGTTTGCATCTATTCAGGATGAGCTGCTTAGGACTTTGGCACATTCTGGTCAGAAAGGGGGAGTAGCAACAACTCCAACTCCTGCGGCTTCAACCAAGACCAAAGACAAAGGCAAAAAGCAGGCATCCCTCCTTACTCCTCCACAGCCCAGCTCTCGTGATGATGATGATTTGTTCTCTGGCTTTAGTTACTAAAGCAGAGATTTATGTTTTTGCGTTTTTATGTCTTTTATCTTTAAACTATCTGCTATTACTTTTGGTCTGTAATAGCTTGCTTTCTTTTTTCTGCATCTTAGACTCTATTTGTTATCTTTTTATCTGCATTGATAACTATTTTTGAGTTAATATCTCTCTCTTATTTCTCTCACTGCAGGAAATAGTTATGTAGCACTGCTATTGTGCTAACAGTATGTGATGTTATGTGCTAACAGTGTGTGATGCAGGGGGAGTCTTTTCTCTTTCCGTCTTATCTGCATGGGGAGTTCTTGTTAAACATGGGTTCTGACCAAATCTATGCCAAATGGGGAGATTGTTGGCGCCAGATTTCCACCAAGGAAGAAATCCGCCTCACTTGGGAAGTAAAGATTGGCTAAAGATTTGTTCCCATGTTTATTTTGGAAATTTAGAGTCCTACCTTTGTAATACTTTAGGACTTAGATTTATTTCCTTGTACTTTACTCTTGTTAGGAATCTTTTCTAGTTATCTAGATTAGAACTAGATATTGACTAGGATTCTGTTTCCTAGTTATTCGGTTCCTTTGGAAGACAGGTCTTTGGAGGCCGATCTCACGCCTATATAAGGCTCCTCACCTCACAAAGACCATGACACTTTTGTTGGGAGAAAAATCACTCCATAGCTTTGAAGAATCGCTGAAACGTTCTGCTAAACAGAACTGTGCCATCGTTGGATGTGTCAACATATACAGATTTGTTGTATAGATCTCTTGAGAGATCAACCGCGTCACTGGAGGGAGTTCAGGCCAGAGAGGAGTTGTAGGCACGCGGTGTGGAGCTGCTGTTGGAAGAAACACGAAGTTCGAGTTGTATGCAAGAACGGCATATTACATAAAGAGGGAGTCTTTAGTGTTTTTATTAAGTCCTATTAATGTATACTATAAATCTGAACTAGTGAAATCGTGTTTGCATGTCCACGTGGATGTAGGGCACAATTTTGTCTGAACCACATTAATTCTTGTGTTCTGTTTATTTACTTTAAGTAGAGTATAACTGTGTCAACACAAGATTTACAGTTGTCGTAACTGAATATTTTTTCCACAACTTAACTGTTACAACTTAGGCTAATTGATTTCTATAGGTATATAAATCAACAGAAATAATGAAGAGATCCAATGAGCAATTGGGTCTAATTTTACCAGATAGCCCAGGGCAATCAGATTAATTATGCAGCCCAACATGATCGTGCAATATGTTTCAATTACACTACCATTTCTCTCTAATAAGTCAAATTTGGTGTCTGCATCAGATTTTTATGTTTTCTATAGGGAAAATTATAGTTTACATCCCTCAAGTTTGCACCGATTTCTTATTTGGATGTTCACAAAAAAACACATTTGGTCCCTCGTGTTACAATAATTTAATACTTTTAGTCATTTCCGCCAATTTACCGTTAATTTGTCAGCTAAGGCAGTGAAGGACACAAGCTTGATTCTGTTAGTACTACCGGAAAATTGACGGAAATGACTAAAAGTGTTGATTTTTTGAATTATGAGGACCAAATGTAAAATCAGTGCAAACTTGAAAGATGAAAATTATATTTTTCCCGTTTCCTATATGATCAGTTATATATTGGGACTGTGGTAGGCTGTTGGAATCTATTACTATTACGGACATATACAAATGGAGTCTATCGATACCAGATTAAGCCACTTTTCTAGATTTTTTCATTGGACTGTGTTTTAGATATTCTATGTTTGAATAAGAAGTTTGAAGAGTTTGTAGTCAAAGAGTCATCTTGTTTATGGTGTAAAAAGGGGGGCTGTTGAAATTCTATTTGTAAGTGAAAATTCTAAAGGTAGAAAAAAAAATAATAGTTTTTCTCATCAAAATACTTCCCCAAGTCTTAACATATAGGTTGTCCGACTTCATGGAATTCTGATATCTATTGTGTTAGATCAAGATCCCGTTTTTCGAAAGAGCTTGCAGCAGGCTATGGGTACACGGTTGTCGTTCAGTACGGCATTGGATCCTCGTATCGATGGTCAATCCGAGAGGACTATTCAGACTTTAGAAGATATGCTTCGAGCATGCTTAATGGATTTTCACGGGAGTGGGGATTCAAAGTTGCCATTGATTGAGGATGCCTACAACAATAGTTATCATTCTTCGATTGGTATGGCTCCACATGAGGCCTTATATGGAAGGAGGTCTCGAGTAAATTGGGAAGAAGCGGGTGAAAGACGTATGATTGGGCCTGAGCCGGTTCAACATACTGTGGAATTCGTGAGGCAGATAAGCGATTCGTGAGTCAGATAGCTCAGAATCGGCAGAAGAGTTATGCCGATAAGCGTCGTAGAGATTTGAAATTTGATCAAGATTCTTGATCAAATTGATCAAAGTGCTTTGGAAAACCATGTTGTCCACGAATCAACTTGAGAAAGAGAAGAGGAGATGCGCTGGTTATATCATTGAGATGAGTACATATCATTCAAGAAATATACATTAGTGTAAAGTTTAACCGATGTAGGATAAGTTGTCTACATTGAGATGACCCCTGTGGTTACAAGCTTTTGTAGATGACTCCCTTATGCTTGTAATATCATCATCACATAATTAATTACTTAGCTTTTGTTAGTTTTTCTGTCAAAATTAACTGCGCGTGTTAAACGTCTAAAATACTATATTTTGCAGATGACCCCATTGAAGTTTGTTGGAAAAACTAACGGACTACCTCTATCAACCACAAGAGAGTTATGTGCCAATATTACGAGCACATGGAGGTCATCTGCAAGAGCTTGTAACCACAGGGGTTTAAGTGTTATTTACGCTTGTATGAAATGGAGAAACCTACCTACTTCAAGACTCTCACTGTAGGCACAATTTCTATTTGACTTCTTTCTTGATTTTAAACAAGCAGAGTATACAAAATGCATCTCCTCGTGTCGAGCTACACGTTAGTGTAAGGTTTGGTAACTACTCGTAGATTTAAGACCCATGAAATCCCAACTAACCATTCGTTTCGAACCTCTTCAACTCCTGACGATGGAGCATGTCTTTGTTACAAAACTCTTCCCACCTTTGAGCTAATAAGCCGTCTCCAATAAGTTGTAGCATCGTCACGATATCCGACATCCTTGGACGTTTCTCAGGGTTGTCTTCTGTGCAGAGCAGAGCTATATGAATAAGCTGCTCCACACCTTCCTCGAAATCAAGATCAACAATCCCCTCCCACTTCTTCTCCTCTAAGATTTTTTTTACCTGAGAGAATAGATATTGGTGACATATATAATTAGTTTAGGGGTAATAGCAAATAGGCCCATGACAAGGGCACTTAATTAAAAGATGGACATCCATTTTTTTTGTCTTTCAAATAAATCCAGCTCATTCAAACTTATTTGCAAATAAGGAAAATCCTTTTATATATACCGAAATTACCCCCAATTCATTGAAACCCAATTCAACTCCAATTTTATGATTTACACCCCCAATTTAGTCCAATTTCATCAATTAACCAATTTTAACCATAATTTCAATTTTGACCACAATTTTGACCCGCCACCACCGGAGATCGCCGGCCGCCGCCGTTGACCGGCGTTGACCGCCGGAGACCACCGGTCTCCGGCGTTGAATTTTTTTTATTTATTTATTTTTTTTTTGAAAAACTTTTTTTTTCCTGAATTTGTTTTCCTGAATTTGACCGCCGAGTCTCCGGCGTTGACTTTTTTTTTTTGTTATAATTTTGTTTTTTCTTAAGAAAAATATTTTAATTAATATTACTGTCTTTGCTGCTAAATTAACTGTTAATTGACTTTTTTTTTTCTTCAAAAATATTTTAATTAATATTGCTGTATTCGTTGCTAAATTACTGTCTCCAGCAGTTATTTAACTGTTGGAGACAGTAATTTAACCATTAATAGACTTTTTTATTCTTAAAAAAATAATTTTAATTAATATTACTGTATTCGTTGCTAAATTACTGTCTCCATCAGTTATTTAACTGTCGCAGACAGTAATTTAAATGTTAATTGACTTTTTTTTTTTAATAATTTTTTTTAAAAAAAAAATATTTTAATTAATATTACTTCATTGGATGCTAAATTATTGTCTCCAACTGTAATTTAACTGTCTTAGACAATAATATTAATAATATTACTGTTCAGGAAAATTATATTCATAATATTATTGTCCCAAACAGTAATATTACTGTCTGAGACAGTAATTTAGTAGCCAAAACAGTAATATTAATTAAAATATTTTTTTTTTCTAAGAAAAAAAAAAAAGTCAATGGTGGTTGACCGGCCGGAAAAAAATTTCAGGAAAAAAAAAGTTTAAAAAAACAAAAAAAAAAAAAAATCAACGCTGGAGACCGCCGGTCTCCTGCGGTCAGCGCCGGAATCTGGCTGGAAAAAAAACATTTCAGAAAAAAAATTATTTTCTGAAAAAAAAAAGTTTTGGGGGTTAATGTGATATATTTGTTTAAATCCGGGGTCAATGTGTAATATTAAGGAAGTTAGAGCATAATGGGTGGAATTGATAAGAATTATATTATTGAGGGTATTTTAGACTAAAGACATGGGGATGGGTTTAATTGAGAGACTGTTTTTTTTGTGGACCAAAATGCATTTAAGTCCCATGTGATGGGCCTTTTTGCCATTCGCCCTTAGTTTAGTATCAAGGCAATGAAATTTATAGCATAAGATACAATACCATTATATATATAGGTAGGTAGGCTCTCACCCAATCAACTAACAACATGTCTTCCTCGTAAGCTCTCTGACAAGTGACGAGCTCAAGAAGAAATATGCCATAACTATACACATCAGATTGCGCCGAACAAATACCATCGGAGAGGTATTCAGGAGCTACATGACCAAATGTTCCACCTACATTTTTTTCCACACGTGTAACACCGTGGTCCGTGGGTATGGCCAACTCAAAGTTACCAATAATTGCATCAAAGTCCTCGTTCAAATATATATTTGCAGCTTTGACGTCGCGATGGATGATTTTACTCTCACATTCATCGTGCATGTAGGAAAGACCCCTTGCAGCCCCCAATGCTATCCGTTTTCTTACTGGCCAATCAAGTGGAGGTTGTGACTTCGGTCGATCTGCAGTAAAATTTTTATTTGAAACATTTTTCCTCCGTTTATTTTTTTAATTTACCAACAAATTTTTCATATATACCTTTTAAACGAGCATAAAAACAAAGAAGAATTGACTTCTCGATGCCTTGATTGGAAAACTCTGAGCTAATCATGATTGTGGTATTAATATTAGAAAAAAAAAATCCTCTTACGATTCATTACTCCCTAAAAAGTACCATTTAGAGGATTACGAGTTTTAAAAAAATAGTCTATTACAAATAAGTCCATCATGTTACTTATTATAAATGGGTGCGATAAAAAACTCTTTTACAAAAAAAAATCAGTCAATATCTAGAGGTGTGTAAATGACTAAAATATCTCAATTTGACTCCAAATTTCACCAATTATTACCTCTTAAGCATGATCCAACAGTTATGTTGACCATGAAGGGATAAACGAGCAGCTTTTCATTTTGCGTAATGCAAACACCGACCAAGCCAAGTATATTTGGATGAACAGCAATTCTCATCGTTTCGACTTCTGCTTTGAGAAGCGGCTGTGCACGTGAGATGCCTTGCTGTTCAAATCTTTTAACTGCCACTATAAACCCATTTTCTAACTCGCCTTTATACAACTTACAAAATCCCTTTCTACAACAGATATTTCCATGTGCGAAATTTTCTGTTGCAGTCTTCAGTTCTTTTAGAGAAAATCTTCTAACTCCTGCTGCAAATGCCCACCTCACCCCAGAATTAAAATCCAAAATAAGTGACATAGGAAACATATTTATATGTCTATATATTTATGGGCAAATTACGGCCACACCATTGAGGTATGGCCAAATTACGAAAATCAAACCCTCTTGTTGGGTAATTACAGCCACCTCCTCATTCTGAATATTTTTATATAAAATTTATGTAATTCGGTTATTTACCGAACCAAATCGTATATTCAGTTCGGTAAACGGTATGAAATGTTGGCGTACCAAATTTTGGTTCGGATTTTACCGATTTAACATCCCTAAATTTACCTCTGGAGGAGTATTTTCGAAAGATAATACATAGTTGAGGGAAGTGGCTGTAATTACCCAAATATGAGGGGAATTTTCGTAATTTGACCATAACTCAGGGGTGGCCGTAATTGCCCATATATTTATATACACACACACAACCATGTAATTTCTATCTGTATTTAAATGACTAACCAGGAATATCGATATAATATTCTTGTTTCATTTTCTTTCCTGGGCGAATGGCAAAAAGACCCATCACATGGGACTTAAATGCATTTTGGTCCACAAAAAAAACAGTCTCTCAATTAAACTCATCCACATGTCTTTAGTCTAAAATACCCTCCATAATATAATTCTTATCAATTCCATCCATTATGCTCTAACTTCCTTAATATTACACATTGACCCCAGATTTAAACAAATATATTACATTAACCCCCTAATTTTTTTTTTTTAGAAAATAATTTTTTTTTTGAAATGCTTTTTTTCCGGCTTTGATTTTTTTTTTTTTTTAAATTTTTTTTTTTTTTAAATTTTTTTTTTTTTTAAATTTTTTTTTTACTGAAATTTTTTTCCGGCCGGTCAACCACCGTTGACCGCCGGTCTCCGGCGTTGACTTTTTTTTTTCTTAGAAAAAAAATATTTTAATTAATATTATTGTCTTGGCTACTAAATTATTGTCTCAGACAGTAATATTACTGTTTGGACAGTAATATTATGAATATTATTCTCCCGAACAGTAATATTATTAATATTATTGTCTAATATAGTTAAATTACTGTTGGAGACAGTAATTTAGCAGTCAATGCAGTAATATTAATTAAAATAATATTTTTAAGAAAAAAGTTTTAAAAAAAATTAATTGACAGTTAAATTACTGTCTCCGACTGTTAAATAACTGCTAGAGACGGTAATTTAGCAACGAATACAGTAATATTAATTAAAAATATTTTTTTTAAGAATAAAAAAGTCAATTAACAGTTAAATTACTGTCTCGGACAGTTAAATAACTGCTGGAGACAGTAATTTAGCAACGAATACAGTAATATTAATTAAAAATATTTTTTTAAGAATAAAAAAGTCAATTAACAGTTAAATTACTGTCTCCGACAGTTAAATAATTGCTGGAGACAATAATTTAGAAACGAATACAGTAGTATTAATTAAAATATTTCTGAAGAAAAAAAAAAGTCAAATAACAGTTAAATTACTGTCTCCGACAGTTAAATAACTGCCGGACACAGTAATTTAGCAGCCAAGACAGTAATATTAATTAACAAAAAAAAAAAAAAAGTCAACGCCGGTCAACGGCGGCGACCGGCGGTCTCCGGTGGTGGCGGGTCAAAATTGGGGTCAAAATTGAAATTATGGTTAAAATTGGTTAATCGATGAAATTGGGCTAAATAGGGATGTAACTCATGAAATTGGAGTTAAATTGGGTTTCAATGAATTGGGGATAATTTTGGTATATATAAAAGGATTTTCCTTATTTGCAAATAAGTTTGAATAAGCTGGATTTATTTGGAAGACAAAAAGGTTGGATGTTACTCTTTTAATTAAGTGCCCTTATCATGGGCCTATTTGCCATTTACCCTTCTTTCCTCTGTACCAATTAGCAGAGAATAGCTTCCATGTGATGGATCCACCAGATTTGTTGCCAGCTGCAACACACGGTCAAATGTTATTCATCTTCATATCACAAACCCATTCAAATAGTAAAAAAAGAAAAAGATAAAAAAACAACATACAAGTGAATTTTAGTTAAAAACACCAAACAAAAGGGGGAAATCCCACAAAAAAAAAAAGAATTGTGGACTAAAACATTAAAGCTTTTTGAAGCGAAGTTAATTCATTAATATCCTCAAGGGTAAATAGCACTTTTTTTCACGAAAAAAACAGTTGGGAGAGGCTGGCGTCGGCGGTGGTGCGGAGACAGAAGATGTGGGAATTGTTTCACGAACATTCCAAGCCAAACAGTAATATTACTGTCTGAGATGATTTCAACGAACAATTTATCGAGTATATAATAGTATACATGTATGTATACTATTATATACTAAATATGGGAGATTAATTTTTTGAGTAATATTTCCAATAATAGATTGGCAGCAACTTCATCATCTGTATCTCCACCAGCTCCACCGCGCGCCACTTAGTAACCCTCCATCTGCCTCTCAAGGTTCATTATTTATCATCTGTTTTGATGAATTAAACTCGATCGGTTCAAAAAGCTTTAATATTTTTTGTGTGTGTGATCTGAAGATGAATAACATTTGGCCGTTTGATGAATTAAACTCGGTGGAGACAATATTACACGGAAGCTATTTCCCGCTAATTGGTGCAGAGGAAAGAAAACACAACAGGAATATCATATCCTCAATATTCATGGTTAGTCTTTATTACAAGTGGTGAACGATATGTAAATATCACTAGTAGAAAATTTACTTATTACTAGTGCCCCTTGCCTAGTGCCCCTTCGTGTGTCTCACTCGCGGTGCATGCGGCTGGTGAACAGAATTTTGACGTAGGAATCCATCCCACTTTTCCCCGACCCAGAACGATGACCCACTCGAACTTAATGATCTAAACCCTTGAAGATCTAAACCCAAATTGTGCGCGGGATAAAAACCCCCAAAAACCCACAACCCTAAATTAAGAGATAATTTGAGAACTTACCTTTTTCTACACCAAGTTCTATTCGAATTGCTTCCAAAACGTTTATGTTTTGTTCAATCGCAGTGGAGAAGATGAAAGGGAAGAAGAGGGGAAAGTTTATCACTTATGTTCTTCTTTTGTTCTGTACGTGTAAATTTTTTTTACCCAAATCCGAAAATCGTATTTTTTATTAAAAAAAAAAAGTAAGGGTAAAAAGGTAATTACACTACAGAAACTAACGTTGTTAGAGACGTGAGAGTTGACTGGTAAGGTGAGGGGTTGTTTTGTCGCATTTTATAATACAGGGGGGTAAATGCAACAGCGGTGATAGTACAAGGGTGCAAACTGTGTTTAACCCATATTTTTACATATAGTGAAAGATTTTTTTACTCATTCTTATCATTTAGGGTTATATTAACATATATTTTAGTTATTAAACTTTTAGTGGCAGAAATAAAATATAATTGAGTAAAATGGTAAAAGAATATTATTTTAGTTTTTTGAGTAAAATTTAATTTAGGGAAAATGAGGGATAACACCCTCATTAGATAAAATAATAGAGTCTGAACCCAATTTATAATTGACACTCTATAAATAAATGCATATAATATTTTCTGAATTGTGTGATCCCCTAGTCTTATGTTTATGCTCATTATGCTCTTTTTTGCCCATATTTTTCTTAGTTCTCTCTATTCTCCTTATTTCTCCCTTACCCGTCAATTTATATTCTCCATTCATTTATCTATTTCTTTTTTTTCTTCATTGTGACTTATTTTTTGTTTTATTTTTGTTCTCCCTCTCTCCTCTCTCCTCGGTCTCTTCTCTCTCTTCCGCCATTTTCTCTCTTCTCGTCTCTTTCTGTTTGTTTTTTTTCTCAGTATTTTACTCAATTTCTTCTTACTACTTTGCCTTTTCTTCTACATCTCATTTTTTTGTCGTTGAAATCAATTTATTTTCTACTCTATGAAATGTCATGTTTTAGCCAGAGATGAGATTTATTATCGTCAGTATTCCATTTTACAACACCATAGTTTCTTAAATTGAAAAATAATATAGTGAATTAATGAAAAAATTATAGTTGACTACTAATTTTATATAATTGACATCGGAAAAATTATAGTTGACTATCTAATTTTTATAATTGACTATGGCACCAATATAGTTAACTATCCATTTATTATAGTTGATTACAAATTTTTATAGTTGACATCGGAAAAATTATAGTTTACTCTGGAACAAGATAATTAACTACATGTTATTTATAGTTGACTCTAGGTGTAGACGACTATAATATTTTATGCTTTTCGCCACAACAATGATCCCTTGTTTGTTGTGGAATACGATAAAACAAATTTCGTGGGAAACAAATATTTACGTGTCAACAAATAATGCGACCATGGATTTGTAGATCTAAAAAACAAGCTTGTTTACAAACTTAATTCTTGAGGAATCAACCATGGAAGAATTTCAAACCGTCGCATATCGTCGCCACAAACCACCACACTTCGATGTCCCTGCACACAACCGCTCACCGCCGTGCTGCACATAACCGCCTTTCGCCGCCACCGACGTGAACAGCAGCCCATCGTCGCCGTTGCTGAACATAGCAAACTGTTTCCGTTGATAAGATGGAAGAGAAAGTTGGAGAGAGGGGAGATGGAGAAAATAATAGAAGATGGAGAGAGCATGTTTTTAGGAAGAGCTAGATAACAAGAAGATTTGTTTACGCGATATTTTTGGAAGATCTAGTTTAGGAAGATAGTTAACTTCTATGAATGTCTCTGTTTTTTTGTAACATTGTGGGGGAGGGGGGTCTAAGACACAGCCATGGGCCGGTTTTTGAACCGGAACCGGCCCGTTGACGAACTGGACCGGCCTGTTGACCGGTGAACCGGTACCGGAACCGTGAACCGGCCCGTGTCCTTGGGACGCACCTGGTTCTGGAATTATGTGAACACGGCTGTTCACCCGGATTTAAAAAAAATAAAAAATAAAAATAAAAATAAAAATGAAAAAAGCTGAACCCGCCATTATTTGCTCTTTTTTGAATTTTTGTCCCCCTATTTTTTCCTATAAATACCCTCACACCCGATTTTTTCAAGTTCAAGTCCTTTCATTTAACTCATTCTGTTTTTTCCTATTTAAAAGTAATTCTTTTGATATATTTATCTAAAAAAAATAAAAAATAAAAATAAAAATAAAAATGAAAAAAGCTGAACCCGCCATTATTTGCTCTTTTTTGAATTTTTGTCCCCCTATTTTTTCCTATAAATACCCTCACACCCGATTTTTTCAAGTTCAAGTCCTTTCATTTAACTCATTCTGTTTTTTCCTATTTAAAAGTAATTCTTTTGATATATTTATCCATCAAGTATTTAAATATATATATATATATATATATATATATTTCCGGGCCGGGCCGGAACCGGAGTGAACCGGCGGTCCGGCCCGACCTGGCCAACCGTATGTTGTACGGGCCGGTTCCGGATCCTGAAAAATTTAACCATGAACCGGAGTGAACCGGCCCATGGTCATGTCTAGGGGTCTTAGTCTAACACAAAATATGAG